TATGTTCTTAGTTTATGTACTTTTATTTGTTTTAGTCATATATTTTAAGAAATGTTTCTGTGTTGTTAATCACTCTGATTTCCTTTCTCAGAGGGCCTCTCTGAAGAAGAGCAGAGACAGCAGCTCTTCACAGAACGCCCTGCTTTTGACCTCTTAGATAGCTATAAAACCATCGCCGTGAAGATGTACAACTTGTCCTGCTTGATCCTGGGTCAGGAACTGGATAAGCTAGTGTTAGATAGATTGTGTTGTTAGTTAGTGATAATCTTGGCGCTGTGACTGTGTGATGAAGTGTTTTCCCTTCCCTTTAGAGTTACAGTGCTCTCTGTGATTAGGGATCCTAAAGACAATAAAAAGAGAGGGGCAGGCAAATGTGCTTGAGAGCAGTAGGAGATTTGTAACAAAGCACATCTCTGTCTGTTCTCCTCGCGAGTATTAAGAATCTAACTTTCTCTTGTCTTTCCTGTGTTATTTTCTGTGTTTAATAGGTGTCAACTCTGACAAGAGCAGAGAGGCTGTAAAAGGAAAATAGTTTTATAGTTTTAAAATGTTCCAAATAATTATCTCCTGTTTGCCACAGATATTTTTTGCATGTCAGTTTGCACCTGCTTTCAAACGTGCTAGATAAGGACGCAAAAATAGCACCTAAAATTTGGTTCAGGTTTAGTGAATCGTTTTAGGGGCGGCGTATGAAAATGAAAGTTACAATAACACCAAATTTATACTCTAAATTTCCTTTTGTCATTTCAAAGGCAAACGGGGAAAACTGTAATTAGCTCCGTCTCTAGCAGTTTCATTTGCCTTCACTTTGATGTTTACTAAGCCACGTTACACTTAGAGTGCAGAAACACGAGCAGGGTAAATAATCCAGTACAAGTTTTGAGTAAGGTAAGAGTCAAGAATAAGAATGACGTGTTTTTGGCTGCGGCACGCTCAGCGATGACTTTAGACGTGAGCTGGTGTGAAGTCATCAGCATCTGGGTCCGTCTGTTAGCTGTATCATTTGGTCAATTTGGGTGGTGGAAGAAAATCTACAACTAATTAAAAAAAACACGAGTCAGCATTAATTTTTCTTTTTGCCTTTTCTTTGCGAGTTCTGAATGATTTAATAGGAAAAAAGTGGGAGCGGCAAAACTCGCAAAATAAACATGTACGGATGACTAAATAAAAATCTTTCCTGCGTTTTTATTTTAACATTAAAATGACACCCTCCACAATAAAAAGACTGTTTCTGTACAACATAAATGCATTTTGTTTGAAAAGCAAAAAATGATTCCCTGTTGTTTTTAATTCTTCCCATCGCAATATTGTTCAGCTACCTCACATTTCATTTTATTTCACAGAGTAGCTGTGAGTAAATGATTTGCAGTATTTTGTGCATCTGATGCTGCAGCAGAGTTGGATATCCAGCTAAGCCAGGCTTTTTGGACTTTAAAAAAAAATACTTAACTGCTAGCTAAATGCTGTAGCAACACCCCAAGTAACATCATGCTCAGCTATGCTGAAGCTCTGTCTGCACTTATGAAGAGCTGCCCACCTTGACATGCTGAATGGCTTAAATGGCTGAATTTTGTGGGTGATATTTAAAGTGTATTTAAGGGCATCAACCCAAATCAATTTAACATAACATCCAGTTGGAAAAACAACAAAGTGACCAATTAATATGATGCCACAGCTAGCAAACAGGTTGTTATATTGGTCACTTTGTGCCTAATGTGCAGTGCATCACAGTCTACATACAGGATGACAAGTGTAAGTTGCATTCCAACTCTAACCTGACTCTGAAACTTAAGCCTATTCCACTGGACTAGTGCACATTGTGCATTACTTAGAACATTTAATTAACTTATTTTTTTAACTAAAAATACTTTTGCAAAAGGGTGATTGAAAAAACCTGCAATATTTTGCAAAATATAGAGAAAACTAATGGGGCATTCATCTTAGAGGAAGGAAAAACAAATACACCAGAAATATAGTGGAAGCAAAGCAGCTCATTTACTCCACGGCTGTGTTGGCATGAGAATGCCGGTCAAGTGGGCTATAAGTTGGTGGCGGTGCAGCCACCTAATGGGTGGCAGCGATGAATGACTCAACCGTTCCACTTCCATACTGTACGCTCTGAAGAAACAAGCGGACCTCTGTTTTAGCTTGCATCCTGAATCTCTTCGGTGGGAGCCGCAGCCTGCACTAATGGTGATGATTATTAAAGGACCTGCAGCATGTCTCTACTGAAGTAGGGAGTGAAAAACGTCCCACAGTCTCACTGATTTATGAGAAATTACACTGTCAAAATGTAGAAATAGGCAGAGAAGCTTGGCAGTAGATTTTGAACGTAGTAAAATAAAATGACTAAAGTTTAATCATACGGCAAACACACACTCGGGGTAATATTTATTGCTATTTACACCAGAAATAATTTTTTGGGACTTTTTAATATGACCTAATTTCAGCTCGAGTTTCGCAGACAGACAAAAGGAGCCTGTATCTGGGCGACTGCACACGACTTTTGGGTTCGTGTCAAGAAGCCGACCACCCAGGTGATTTTTCAGCAGGTCAAACATGAATTTAAGAATGTTTTCTGACCGTGTCCAGGTGAGTGCGCTGGTGCTTGGCTCGGTCGCTGGAGTTGCTGAATGCCTTCTGGCAGCCAGGGTGCTGGCAGAGGTACGGCTTCTCGCCCGTGTGGCTCCTCAGGTGTATCTTCAGGTTCTCCAGGCGGGAAAACGCTTTGTTACAGCCCTCGAACTGTGGGAGGAGGAGAGACCGCTTACAAAGAGAAAACTGGGGGGGGGGGAAACAAACCAAAGTATGTGCCTGAGTGATTTAGAAACAAGTCCTCCCTCGCGTTTACTTATTTTGGAGCTTCTAATAAGGATAGTGTTATTTCTACAAGATATATTGACTGATTGAAAAGGACCGGAGGTGCAACTGTGAGCACTTCTTTCCGCATCTTTTGAAAGCATCTGCCAATCCAAGACTCTTTGTGAAAACCACTGAGCACCTACGCTCCCAGCCTGTCATGTTAATTGCAGGGGGAAACTGGAGCACGCCATACAGTACGGTGTCGTTTATTTTGCCGTAATGCATAGCGGGAGATAAGTATTCGGCAGCGTATAGTCCATTAGACTGACAAGTGACAGTGACTGTAAACAAGCTCATATCTGACCCTGCTTGGCTCATCCGATCCCAAGCACTCACCCAATGAGCACCACAGATTTGTTAACGTGTGAATCATTCATGAGGCTTCTCATGTATCCACTTCTGGGCTTGTAAAGAAAATGGAAAATGGAAACAAACAAAAACAAATTGTGGAGGGTGAAAGCAGCTTTCGCTGTCAAGACTCTCTACGGGGGAATGTCATGTTAGGAGTGATAAAGTTTTTAGGTAGAAATAATACGGGAGATTCCACTTAATGTAACTTTTGAAACACACAGGAGCCTCTTAATAAATTAACCCCTCTGACGCATGAATTGTAAAAGAACAACAACAAAAAAAATCTTCAGTGTTTTTATTCTTGAGTTCAGGGATTTACACGTATCCACTCCTGTGGACAACCTGCACCTAAGCACAAAAAAACAAAACATATGAACTTAATGCTGGATCTTTAAGCACCGACTTCAGCTGCTGTCCACACATTGCGAATCTCCAAACGCTTGGATGGGCTTTGCTGCAAAATCCTCTCAAAAATCTGATTATTCCTGTTGCTTGAACACCTTTTGCTACCTCACGCTTTCTTTCCCCTCAACTTTCCATCAATGTGCTCGGATAAAACACTCTGTGAACCTCCAGCCTCTTGACCTGAGAGACTACAAACAACATTTCTGAATTAAAATGTCTTTATTGTCAGATTTGCAATTTCCAAGAAACTGAACTTTTGGTGTCATCAGCTGTAGATTATAATCACTCGCATGGAAAAAAAAAATGGACACTTATTAATTATACATATGTAAATCAATTTACTGAGTAGATACTGGCATTGGTCATCTCTAGTTATCCCTCTAAAGACGAATTTGTCTTTAAAATACATATAACTGTAAAGATGTTCTATTTTATACGACAAAAATAAAGCACAAAGAACAGTATCTATCGGGCCAACATTAAAAATGCTTTGTTAGGCTGAACTAAATGTAAAGTTGACATCCTGCTGCTAAAGCTCACGTCTTTTATTCTCGCCTGACCTTTAGCTAGGCCGACTGACAACAGGTCAGGTTGTAGCTCAGGACAGAGCAGCGGCACTCCAGCTCTCTCTTAGCTAAACACTCTTAGCCTCCTTCATTCACTCAGGCAGCGCAGGTTGGGCCTTCTATTCACCAAGGCTCCATTTAAGAAAGACGAAACCCAAGCCCGTCATGGTGGAACCGTCTTAGGTGACCTGCGCTCATTTGTGGGTTTCTGAGTGCAGCGGTGTGGCTCAGTAAGAGAGTCTTAATCTGTCCAAGCCAAGCAGTGTGTCACACAGCTCCACAAAGAGTTTGTAAGATCTCTGAGTTAATAAGTTTGGAAACAAAACTTTCATTCAGGATGATCAAAATCATGCTTTCACCTCCCCACGCCTGCCGGCAAAAAAAAAAAAATAAATAAATAAAAAAAATAAAAATCTGCGTGCAAAAAGCTTTTTTTAGGCTAATTTTACTCAAACATTAATGTATCCAAACACAGTACAATATGAGGACCTGTTAGGGCTTCCAAACAGAAATAAGCTTGAAATTTTGAAATCCTGTCCAAGTCCTGTTTTTGGACATCAATGTTGCCATGGCTCGACGTTTTGCTGCAAAAGAACACAAGTCCCCAGAGTGCAATTCACATCTGCAGCTAAGCCAGATGCATAATCCAAGTGCATATTCATGAGTACGTAAAAGCCAAAATGTGGAGCTACAAAGACAAGTCTACACAGTAAAACAGGACAGTTTGAATATGCGTGTAGGACTTGATCTGATAGACAAACACAAAATGCTGGTCTGTCGGGGAATTTAAAAACATATGAAAAAGGTGCCAAGTATTTGCCTTCAGACCCTTAGTCAACAATTTGTCAAGCTACATTTCGCTGCGAGTATTTGTCCATTCTTCTCTTGAAAATAGTAAGTCAGATTCCTCAATTGTGAGGAACATTTGTTTTCCTATTTCAGCCCTGGTTGTGTTTAGGTTTGTCGTTCAATCTTTATTGGTCAAAATGCTTTTTTTTTGTTTTTTTATACCATCCATCTCCCCATTAGCTCTCATCAGTTTTCCCCCGTTGCCGTAGGAAGGCATCACCTCAGCATGATGCTGCCACCACCATGTTGTGCTCAGGGTGTTCCAAGTTTTGAATACAGTTTTACAACCTTGTTGCATTCGGTTTGAAAGGTAGTTGTAAAACACTCAGATTTTGTGCATCTAAAACGTATAATTTTCCTTGAACATCACAGTTTTATACAAGTCCATGTTGAAACTAAGAAGTTTTTAGTTATAATGTGACAAAATGAACAAAAAGGTTCATAAATACTTTTGCAAGGCATGGTATAATACATCTGGCAGACTTTGAGGCTGAGAATTAAGTTTTGGAAAACAAACCAAGCTCGTATTTAGGCACCAAAATTCCATATTTATGGAAATTTGTTTCGCTGAAACAAATCTGAGGATAAATTAGTTAGAGGTCCGTGGAGGAAAACCATGTTACTCACGAAAAAGCGTATTATTGATCTGAGGATATAATTTGTAGAGAGACAATCCAAGCGTGAAGTTTTCCTGGCGAGTAAAACAAGAAAACCTCATAAGGCACCAACGTCTTCGGGAATAGACGTTACCCAGGAACTCAGCAGAAAAATAAATCTATGCTAAAGTAAACCATTTTAATGCAGCCAATCTGCTGGTTTAAATTACTTCTTTCAGAAAGTGTGCTGACTGTCAACTTCGTTTTGGAGGTTTGCTGTATTACAGTGCTGGTAAAATGAAATATGCCACTCCTGCTGGTAATGAGAGAAGAGTGGTAGTAGTAAGAGTCTCCGTCAGGCCCAACCATATGTGGTCCCACTTTGTCAGCCAAGACAGTTTTGTGTTGTTTTTTTTTTTGTTTGTTTGTTTTCACCCGACTACACCAATCAAAGTTACAGCCATAATGATGATAAAAGCCTCTTAAGATAACGTGTGTACATTAAGAAGCATAAACTGTGTCAGTAAGGTGGTACACCATTCATAAAGAAGCTGACTCGAATCTAAACTGCGCAGAAAGCACCACACGGTTGAAAGTGGTATAAACAGAGTCGGTGGTTGACGGATGACTGGTTTTGCCTTTGATATTACCTATAAAAACAGCTTAAACTGCGCTAATCACATTAATTGCTTTAAACATGTTTAGTTTTCCTCTCTGAAAACCCTCCGTCCATGGTAAGCCAGAAGGCAGCCGCAGGAGGGGAGTGGCACCGGCACTCTTGAGGGCTTTCAGCCCCATTTGACACCGTCCTCAGAGCTGAGTGGGTCGCTCAGCGGCTCGGTAAACATTGGGGATGACAGCGGGGTCTCGACGTGGCTGAAGGGAGCGCGAGCGAGGGTTAAAACCCCGGGACAAGCGGCTGATCACAACAGACAGATTATGGACTCCGCGTTCAGAGCAGAGGTGGTGCGTCACGCCTCGGGCCTTCATGGGAAATTACTCTTGACTGGCAGGGGAAAGACCAAACAGTGTCAGGAGCAAAAAGGCAGCAGTGTGGGACTCGGCTCGCAGGCAGCGGCTCATTAGCAACCTGCCGGAGCTGCGGCTGACGGGAACAAACCAGCCGTTGTGGACGGCTGCTGGGCGGAATACAGCCGCTGACATGTTTAACGAAAATCAGATTTAAAGTCTAAATGAGTGACGCAAGACGACACATATGTACACGAAGAGGATCAGAAGATATAAAGAGGCTCATCTGTTGAAAAGTGATATTTGCGCAATGAAGTGGTTGCTACTAGAGTCATTGAATACGTTTGTTTTTATTTTCATTTCAGGTTCCAAAATGTTCCCTCTCTACTTGCCGGTTGCAACAGATTTAAGATATTCACTTGGTGTCCCTCTTCAACTTGAATATATTTCTGTGTCCCCTTGATGCTGGAAGACTGAACTTGGATTTGGGAAAGGATTTGCAGAATCCTGCATTATAACTTCAAGAGCCTTTTAAGTAGATTTTTTTTTCTTGGATCTCAGAAATTCTGACTTTTAGTGCAAAATAAGTTAAGAAAGTTATCAAACTTTATTTGAAAATACAGAATGTCTACCATGTAGATACCACTGGACAATAACTGGGTGATACAAAACACTTAATTTGCAATTATGACAGTTTTTTTTTTATCTTAATAAACCAATGACAACCTCTGTTGTCTTTAATGGATATAGTACTTTAATACTTTAATGGATAAAGTGTGTTATGCACCTGATCAGAGCTAGCTAACTAATTAGCAAAATAGTTTGCAAATAAAAGAGCCAAAGACTGGAGCAATGATATGATTGGCTTAGGTTGATCAGTGATGACATAAAGGTAAAACTCAGTTAATGGCTGCAGATTTCACAGTGTTTTAATGTGACAGTCATCCTCAGTCTGAAAGCTGGCAAAGTATCTTGATTTGCAATTAAGCTACAATTACTCATGTTCTAAAGGTCTGAGATAGAGGAAATGAAATCTCAAAGCTCATCAGAAAAATCCTGGACTCTTTACAGGAAAGCAACACAGAAATGCAAAAGTTTTCAATCAGCCAACAACATATATACTGCTACAGCTCAAATTAGGATCTAT